AAAAGGAACTTAGATTAGCTCAATACAAAATTTTAGATCCAACCAAATTCTGAAGGTCCTTAGTCAACAGATAGAACAATACTCCATTCTTCTGATAAAGTGAAATATCAGATTGATTGGGTCCTGCCTATCTTCTGGACCTTATTTTTAGTTTCAAATGCACCACGATATTTTATATAAACTTGTATATGTTGTTACTGAAGGTGTTCACTGGCTTGAGAAAATGCAGATGGGATTGGTAGAGGAAGGATAAAATGTAATCATCTAACATAATTACAATGTCCCCAGACTTTTCCACAGGGAATGGTGTAGTGTGTTATATGTTACTGTGGTCAACTTTAGGGATAAAACAAAACAATTATTCTAGCTTTAATTGGGTATGTACCAGTTTCTGCATAGAGAAAGGGGATAGGAGTACCATTGGGTACATCTAAAACTGTTCTGAGGAGCTTGTTTGGAAAGAATTCCATATCACAGGAGGTAGAAATTCCCCATAACTCTACCGCATACAAAAAGTAGGGAATTAACTTGGTTTTTAAAAGAGTGAGGATTGGAGGAATTTGTCAACCACCATTGGTACACCAAAACTTTATTATTCCTATCGAAGCTTTCTCGGTTTTAATTTTTTGGGCCTGATAGTGAGAACTGCCTGAAGCATTAAAAAGGATGCCCAAGTGTCTGTAAGAGAGAATTTGCACTATATTATATTCTCCAATTCAACATTTGTGTCTTTTCCTTTTCTCTACAAATACCACCACCTTGGATTTTTCCCCATTCACAGTTAAACAATTTAAGAAGCAAACGCTATCCAAAGCTCTTAACTGCCTGCACTAGCCTATCTGAGAATAGGATATAAGCAATAAATCATCTGTATAAAGTAATACAGGCAAATTCCTATTTCCCATCTTTACTGTAAAAAAAATTTCTCCACTCAGAGCTGGAACAATATCATTAATAAATAGATTAAATAATAACCATGTGAGCACACATCCTTGTTTTACTCTTTTATAAGTCTTAATATTATCTGTCAGATGTCCTACTGGGGTGAACCTAACCCGAATTTGAGTATTTGTATATAAAGCCATGATCAAAATGAATAACCTTCTACCCACATTCAACTGATCTAGTTTAATCCATAGTTTGTTTCTATCAATGGAATCAAAAGCTGCAAGAATATCCACAAAGCCAACACAGTTTCCTGTGGGCATGTCTTACATACTTATTTATCAGATGATTCAATACAAAACCATGATCAATTGTTGAATAACCTGCTCTGAACCCTGCCTGCTCCTCTGCAAGGGTATAGTTATCGATGATCCAGTCCTCTAATTTATTAGGTAGTTGTTTTGTATAAATTTTAGCTATAAAAACTGATTGGTCTAGAGTTCTCTGGGTGGCTATGATCACCTTTTTTGTATATTGGGATCATTATGCTTGTAGTCCAACCTTGGGGAAGTTGGCCAGAGGAATTAATGTTATTAAAGAGTTTAGCCAAAATAGGCTTACACCAGACAATATTAGCTTTTAATAAATCACCAGGGGTATAGTCTTTTCCAGGGGCTTTGCCTGATGGCAACACCAGGATCAGATATTCAATTTCTTTTAAAGAGACAGGGGGCCAGGGTGTAGTGTCACAGAGTTTTAGATTAATTGGAGAATTAACTGAAGTGGGATGGGGAGCAAACACTCTAGTATAATGGTTCTCCCATTCCTCTTTGGACACTCTAGCCTCTAAGATGTTCTTATTTTCACCCAAACTGGCATTTACCATTTCCAGAATAATGTTGTGTCTTTAGAATCTATGGCAGTCAGAAGAAAGTGCCAAAGAGTTGTTCGCTATAGTATTTTTTAATTCTTTGCCCTCATGTGGTGATTGCACATTCCTCAATATGCTGGGGAGATGATTTTAAACATTGTAATTATCTCAGATTGCTAGAATCTTCTCTCTACTTTGCCAATCTAGCATGGTGACTAGAGTGTATGAGCTTAGATAAAATATTGTTATACAGTGGAACAATGAACTGTGGTCATGAAAGGCTGAAGGAGTCTGTTCTATGGCTTTATCAGAGAAATCAAATGCCACTGAAGAAAAGTATCTTGTACCCAAGTTCATTGTTGATCGATCATAAACATACATCTCTTTTAATGATCTACATGTAATATGGAAGCATTATCTTTTTCTAATATGATGCTCCTGTGGTTGGTGAATGTACTTCACATTGAATGCAAGGCACAAACTGCGATGTGCAGCATGAATAATCTTCTCCTGATTCCATACAAATATTGTACAGCAGGTGACATAATTATTGGAGAGATTGCTACCCAGTTTGATTGCCTATTTGATAAAATATATTTCAATGATCACCCCCAAACAATGCTTGTAAATGAACTTATGTAAGGATCTTTTTTTTTTCCAAGTATAACATGAACCAGTGCATGTTCATAATATCTGCAGAGAGATTGTATGAATGCATGCAGTATAATTAGATCATGGTCTATCAGCCTAATTTTTTCTGCTAAACCTTAAAATCCTCTGTCAACCTCATTCATGCCCTAGCTATAGTACTAAATTGGAAGGAAGGGGTCTCTGTTATTCCCATTATCCATTAAATTAGTGAGTACATCATCCGCAGCAACTTCATTATACATATAATAGAAATACGAGAATATTATTGATTGTATCAAGTTCCATTAAATTGTGGTTTTACTACACTAGAGGTAGATTTAGATCTATTTCATCATTTACAGCGAACAGATATTTGTTGGTAATGAAGATCCATTCAGGCCTGAGATTTTGTACTTTATTATTGTATTTTAAGTAACTGTGCCACTGCACTTAGGTACAGTCATCAGCTGTATTTAAAACAAGGTAAGATTAATTATCCCTAAATATATGTGTCCTGTTATATTGGTATCTGCAAAAAAAGAGGAAGAAAATAATTTACTATAGAGTTTCTGTGTTTCTGTACTTGGAATGAGCAGAATAATAGAAGCCCAGGTCCAATGTCAATGCTATTTCTAGCTTCTTTTTGAAAAGAGACACCATCTACAATTATTGTTGCATGATTTAAGGTATCTCTTTCCATTATTTATGCATCTCTATGCATAACTTATTTGGTGCAATGTGTTCTATAAGATTTCTCTCAGTGCAAATAGGCAAGTAGCCTGAATGTATAACTATTTATGTGTGTAATTTTCCTCTTTCAGCCAAATGTGCTAATAGGCTGTCTTCGTTGCTCAGCTTGAATCCTCTTTGACAACATCATTGCATTTCCTCTTTAGGGAAATCTGTAGCTCTTTTTAAAAAAATCCTCCTGTATTTTTGTATACTTGTTATCTATCATCTTACTCCATAAGCTTCATTCCAATCTACAGTATGTGCCAGTAATGTTATGCATAGTGACATACTCTTAAAAAGATCCTTTATTACATATAACCATAACCATAACTTTTTATTATCTATGTAATAAAACTATCTGTTAAACATATTGCATTTTTTTCCTATAGAACAACTCCCAAAAGTTACCAGCACGTCCTGTCCTTTGTATTTGCTGTAAAGGAGATCAATGAGAATTTGAAGGTCCTGCCCAACATCACTCTGGGTTTCCACATCTTTGACAGTTACTTGAGTGCCAGAATGACCCATCAAAACACTCTGCAACTTCTCTCTACCAGAGAAAGAATTGTCCCCAATTTCCATTGTGACAAGCAGAAGAAGCTGATGGCTGTCATTGGGTCCCTTGACTCTGAAATCTCACTTCAAATGGGAATTTTACTTCGTATCTACAAGATCCCACAGGTAGAATTGAGTATGTGGGCCATGAAATGTATTCAGCTGTGTTTTTAACAAGTGAGAATTTGAAAAGGGTTATCATTTCAGGATCACGTAAAATAAACTGAGACAAGGAAATTCTTAAGATCAATAAGAAACTTCCTCTACATTTTACATGTCTGTTACTTCCTATCTACCTACGTACCTTTGGTTGAGGGAGTAGTAGCTTAAATTCAGGGTACTCTCTCTCTCTCTCTCTCTCCCTTTGTATGTGTGTGTGTTAAATAATTCAATATATATTGAATTCTCCTTCCTTTTCAAATATGAGATTAGTTGAAATGTATTTGTCTTTACAGTGCGCAACTCAAACCCTTTATTCGACTCCCCTTTCCAGGATATTCTAAACTGCAGGGAAACAAATCAATGCCTTTAAGGTACTTATAACCTGAAAGAACTGAGAGTTAAATATGTATAGAATTTCTGAATGGATTAGAGTTAACAGAGGGGTGCCTTCTTATCCAATCCTAAATTTGCACCTCCAGGATATTCTAACATGTCCATTTACTTGATTAAGCTAAGTCTTTTAAACAAGTCTTACTCCTCCTCCTGCTGCTACTTCCGCTTCTTTTCCTTTCTCCTGCCTTCTAATTACCAAAAACACTCTTTAAAAGAAAAACTAAGTCCTACCAAGTACAACTTTTTAAAAAGCCTTTCCTGGTATCTGGCTGAAAAAAAAAAAATACATGACAGCTGTTGTTGTTATTGAAACATAATGGTCATCCAAGCAAATACCCAGTCATTGAGTGTCAGCCAGCATACAATAATTTAATAAATTGCTGCTGCTGCTGCTGCTGCTGCTGCTGCTGTGATGATGATGATGATGATGATGATGATGATGATGATGATGATGATGATGATGATGATGACAGCCCAGATAGAGTAGCTCTATTCTTTCTAATTTCACCTATGTGAAAGCATATGTGCCTTCTCTTCCTCCAGGGTTCATCCAAATAAATATTTAGAGTCTATCATAACAAACTGATGTGCATTCTGTGTCCCATTTTTTAAAAAATCCAATTTTTATTTGTTTAGATAGCATACTGCTCATTAGCACCAGGAATGAACATAAGAAACAGTCTCACTTCCTTCTACCGGATGGTGCCTAATGAAGAATTTCAGTATTGGGGGCTTGTCCAGCTCCTTCAACATTTTCAGTGGACATGGATCGGGATCATTACAGCCAATGATGACAAAGGAGAAAGCTTTGTGCAAAGATTGGTACCATTGCTTTATAGACATGACATCTGTACAGCCAACATTATAAAAACACCACACCTGTCTGATGTTTTAGAGACATTCCAGTCACTAGAACCCTTACTGAACCTGACTTTTTCATTAACCAATTCCAATGTCAACGTTTTTGTGGTGAATGCTGATTCTCAGACTGTCACATGTTTAAAATGGTTGTTATATTATGGAATACTTGAAGGCATGGCAGATGCATCCATCGGTAAAATGTGGATTATGACAGCCAACTGGGATTTCTCATCCCAGACAGTACAGAAAGATTTAGATATCCATATCTTCCATGGTATGCTTTCATTCACAATTCACACAAATGAACTGCTGGATTTTCAGCATTTTCTTCAGAACCTATATTTGAACTCATTGAAAGGAGATGGATTTATCAGAATCTTCTGGGAAGAGGCATTTGGTTGCTCATTGTCCAGTTCAAATGAACTTGAGAGCACAGATATATGCACTGGCTATGAGAAACTGGAGAAACTCCCTGGTGTTCTTTTTGAGATGAGGATGACTGGCCAAAGCTATAGCATCTATAATGCAGTCCATGCCATAGCACATGCTTTACATGAAATGCTTTCATTGAAATCAGCACCAAAATTGATCAAGAGTAAAGGTCGACTGGATCACCAAGATGTGCATCCATGGAAGGTAGTGTTTTAAATATGATTTTGTCATGGCTGTGCTACTATATGATAATTCTTGGTTCAGAAAAAAATGATCAAGAAATGGAACTTTGCTAGCTACATTACCTGACTCAATATCTATTGTTCCTATACTCAGAGAGATGCTCTTCTGAAGTTGTGGGTACAGTGATAGACCATTTCCGTTTGTTGCTTGCTAGTCTGCAAAGATGCTGTCTCTTCCAGGCCTCTTAATAGGGAGCAACAGCTTTTGATAAGTAAGATGACCCACAAATTCCTGATTGAGACTCTTCTGTCTTTTTCCTGGGTATCATGAGAATCCTTCTCATCAAACAGTCTTTTTGAATTTAGGAGCTGTATTTTAAAGTAAAGAGAATTAGGGGAAAATTGAAATATTCACTTCAAATGGTTGAAACAGTAAATTGCTTGCCATTTTAAAATACGAATATGAAAGGAGGCTGTCACATAATTTCATTTCCTAATTCCTCCTGATGCCACTTTCAAATTCCACAATATTTCTATAATTTAACTGCTGCAGGAGAGAAATGTTTCCATGAATTTGTTCTGCAAATAAATCAATTCATTTTAGGAACAGACAACGTCCTTAGACTATCAGTTTTATTTTGAGCACCACCCCATTCTCTGTTGACCAAAGTAGGCTCTTTCATAACACAGCTTGTTCTAATCTAGACTAACAATAAGCACATTATATGACAGCTTCCCCAACACAGATCCCTTCAAATATTCTGGACTACAGCTCCCCAAAATCCAAGATCATGAAAGCTGTTCTAAGTTCCAGCAAGCTTGAAAAAGATTAGTGAATAGTTCTTTTGCATATTCTTTCTTTGCAGTGGCTTCTTTTAAAAAAAAAAAAAAGACAAACAAATCAACCATTTCCCTTTTTCCTCCTCTTCATTTTAGCTTCATTTTTTTCTGAGGAATATCTCATTTAACAACACTTCTGGAGACTTAGTGTCCTTTGATGAAAATAGAGAATTAGCAGCTGGATTTGATATTATCAACTGGGTCACTTTTCCAAATAAATCCTTCTTAAGAAAAAAAGTTGGTATGATTGATCCACAAGCTTTGCCAGGCCAGGAGTTCACAATCAATAGGGAGGCCATCACATGGCACGGCATATTTAATCAGGTGGGAACCAAATATAAGATAGAAAGATAGAAAATAAATAGGAATGTTCTATACAAAAACAAACTTCCATCACTTTTTCCAGGTCTTTCTCCATCAGTCCCAAAAGAAAGACCTCTGGTTTCAATTATTTATTAATATTTCAAATCCTCTGAATCAGTGTATTTGAATCCAAATTTTTCTACCTTTTATACACATCCACCAAGCATTATAAAATGTCCCTTCTTGTTCATATTTCCAACATAAATTTGAAGTGCCTTTATACATTCTAGACAATTTCTCTGGTGACATATTCCAACTATACATCATTTTATAAAAATTCTGTTTAAGATTAATTTGAATCCAAATTTTTCTACCTTTTATACACATCCACCAAGCATTATAAAATGTCCCTTCTTGTTCATATTTCCAACATAAATTTGAAGTGCCTTTATACATTCTAGACAATTTCTCTGGTGACATATTCCAACTATACATCATTTTATAAAAATTCTGTTTAAGATTATCACAATTACATGTTAATCATTTATACATCATTCTGTTTCAAACTCAGTCTTACAATGTTCAGAACCATAAACTCTTTTGGCTACTTTAAATCTTTGTAATAATGGTAAATAAGAAAACCATTGACAACTATATCTCTGCCACCAATTCTCCTCTTGATTTTATTTTACATTCCCCTTGACAAAATTGTAATATCTCACAATAAGTTAGCCATCTATGTTTGCCTATGATTTCTCATCTATAAAATGCTTCTTGTGCTGAGAGCCACAAAGGTGTTTTTGGGCACAGGCTGGGTTTTTATCTATTCCATATTCTTAATATGGCATGTCGAACATAATGATGTTTAAAATCCACATTAACCTTGATTTTATCATACCACAAATATCCATGCCACCCAAATCTCAGGTCATGTTCTTCTAACTCCAAA